TRYKGTGGGAATAGCAGAACAGAACTTTATTAAACAATTCAGGCCTGTRTATTACCAATKATAAGAGTCACAAATATTTATCAGGGAGGCTCTCAAGTGGTGTGATTTATGTTAGGAACTKTGGGGGTAAACATTACTGGTAAAAATGCTACTAACCTTTGTGTTTTAGTACATTATAAACAGTGGGGGTAAATGTTTGTAAACAAGTTACTAACATTAGTGTTACAAATGCTAGTCTAACGCAAATGCTTGACCCAAATGTTACATTCCTAATGGTAGTGTTCCTAATGTTACAAACGCAACATATATCATTACATTACCCGACAATAGTATTTTTAGTGTTTCCACCCCCTCAGACTCTCCTTTCCATCAACAATTCCAGTCAATTAAAAACTATTCTAGTATTTTCTTTCTTTTCAACTTCCATGATTGACTAGATTTGATAGACAGACAGACCAAAAAAGTCRTCTAGATTGACTAAATCTAGTAGTCATTTTGGATAAAAACCCAGACCCCCTTCCCAAGAAAATGTCTAGATTTAGTAGCATGGACTAGAATAACATTTTTGAGCCCTTTGACGTTTTTCAATATGGTACGTACTAATGTGAACACTTTTTTACTGGTCATTACTGGTGTTGGACAGTACATACTATACTAGTAGTATTGGYAGTTATGTTGTCTTTGCCAGATGCCTGAAGATTCTGAGCATCTCTTTAGATGTTCTCACCCATCAAGACTCAGATGGCAATGATAGACCATTGCCTCTCCAYAACAAYGGGTGCCCCCCCTTGGTTTCCGKCCAATTGCCACTGAYATTCTTGATGGCTGTCTTACCAAATGGYTGGACTCTGGTAMAGTTTCCCCAGAGAAATATCCTGCATCCCTTCATCCAGTTATTCATTTCCAGGGTGAGATTGGATGGCATCACATGTTTGCTGGCCATGTTTCACTCCAGTGGTTTACTGACCAAGATATTCATTCAAGCTCTCACTCCCCACTTGTGCTGCTGGGGGGTTATCCTGTAGAATTCKTTCTTACCTCTTGCATATCTTCATGGGAACAGATAAACAAAGACCTTCATGGCCAGCACACTCTTTCTCAGAAGCAAGCACAGCATTGACAACATGCAGTACTGAAAGTCTGCACTCTGTTTGCACTRAAACCACAGACTTGTCCATCTCATGCCCACTTATTCCCAGAAGACACAGAGACATTCATAGATACTGCTTCTACTTCCATGCTCACATATTACAACCAGGTCTATGAAAAGAGTATCCTTGAAAAGTGTCAGCAAGGCCTCGCTCACATAGTCTTCCAACACACTCCCTCTTACTCAGTACTTCCATCCTTTGCCTCATACTAGTAAGCAACCACCAGAGAGTGCCACACAAGATTTGCTAGTCTTTGACTCCTACTCCAAAAATAAACATCACAAACAACCTGCAGTACCAGACACTTSTTTGGCTGCTTCTGTCACTCCTTCCCGTTCACTACATATGAAGTTGACTCAATTCTTTCAAATCCAGCAAAACCAACCTCTGGTCACACTTCCACCAAAACACCTCGTCAGAGGGAAGTGCTGCCCCTCAGAGCAGCTACTAGGAGCATACTTTACACCCAAAGCTATGGTTCTGGCCATATACTAGTGCCTCTTCTAGTTCACAAGGTTAAAAATAATATTAAGATTTTTTAGTATTGGTAGTTAAGATTCTAAATTCTCAAAAAGACGACTGCCATTTAGCTGGCAGTCTGCCYTTTTTCTGTTCATCTACCAGATTGACTAATATAGTCAATCTAGACATTTAGTCAATTTAGTATATTAACAGGAATGACCCATTAATACTCATTTTTCTTGTTTTACAAATTATAAAAACTCATTTCCTTGTAWGGTTTAGTTTTTAGTTCATTGAAAACTCATTTCCTTTCATTCTCTAAGGAATCAAAATTGATATGCTATTAAACAATAATGAAAACATCAGCATTCATTATGAGTTGCCATTAARGGACAGCAGGAGGAAAGAAGTGGTGCTGAAATACAACAAGACAACAAAGAGAACAAATGTACTACCACCACTAGTACCGTACTACTGCAAACATCTAGCACTGCTGTATGCCTAGTACCATCACCATCATCTTGCTTYGTCCAATACAAATAACATAWAAAAATGGAAATAGGATAGTTATTGTTATTTTTATCKCTRCCCTGAATAGTTGTTACTGTTATTTTTAATGAGTAAATTGAGTGTGACAAGAATAAAACACAGTCACTAGTGTATAGCCTATCAATAGTAGGAGGATTCAAATAGTACTACTACATTACAGTATAGTACTACTCTAAAGACTTCGTAGATATGATTTACAGCCAAGACACCACCATGTTGCATTAAACAAGTAGCAGTGGTTGCAGTGGGTGTGATAAGGGTTTTTCAGTGTTTATTCAGGTGATAGTAATTTAGATTTTGAGGTCAGTGTCTGAGAGAAGGTAGTATGATGCTAAGAAGAASTTAACAAGTTCACCAGATCTGATCACAAATCTGTCATGATCTTACTATGAATCGACCATAGGGATGATCCTTAGCTATTTCTTTACTTTGTAAGTTTCTCACATTTATCCCCCAATATTACTAGTAGTAGCTACAGTCATCTGCATTGGCATATCAGCTGAGTTTAATTGTAATCATAACCATAGACCATAATTTTACTACTAGAATGTTATCATGATATTAGTAGCAACTTTTTGTATTGTTTAAGGGTTCTCTGTATCAGCAACTTGTATTGTATCAGCATAATCCATGTCAGCAGTTTAGTGGCCTCCACATACTAGGCATTCTCCACATTACTATTAGCAATCCATATCAGTGTTCTTAGTCAACAATCTGTTTGTTACATAGCACCACTGGCATCTATACTAGCAGCATTTGCTGTATCACTACTTGTAAAATACTGAGTCGTGATTGCTGGATGGGTATTGTGAACTGAGGTGGTGATGGCAATGTGTATGATTTTTGGACTTGTTGCTTTGTCAAACCATGATTATCTCATCCATCAATATTAGTACTACTACTASTAGTAGTACTATAAGTAGTACTAGTAGTGTTTTCTTGTTCTTGGTGTGTCTTAAATATTTTAGTGTCAAGCAAGTACTAGTACTACTAGCTAGTGATAAGATTAGTAGAAGACAAATAGATGGTTTTTTCTAGARGAAACAATTCCTTCCTTCTCCTTGATGGTTGTCGAAAGGATTCCACTGGTCCTTTTGGCATGTCACTTGTTGTAGCAGTACTAGCAGGTAATAGTAGTACTTGACTTGAAGAACATGACATCAATAGCTACAAGTAGAAAATAAATGAGGCAGCAGCAGTAATTCTTAGTACTAGCAGTGCTGGTGAAATAATTTTATTGTATCCGCAGTTCTCATTCAAAAGAGATGCACTTTGGTACTACTGGTAGTAGTAGTAGCACCAGTATTAGTACCACCATTTTTGTCACACATACTACCTTTAGTAGTACTAGTAGTAGTAGTAGTAGTACTAGTACTAGTACTAGTACTAGTAGTATTAGTGCTAGTACTACTATAAGTTCTTCTTTGCTGATCTCTGCTGGTGGTGGCAGACCACCTTCCTTAACTCCTGCTCTTGGTCACTTACTTTTTCAAAAAACATTTACTTGTACTACTACACCTGCCTCACTGGCACTATTACTGTTGTTATATTTTGCATTTGTACTATTCTTACTACTAATTGTAGTAGTACAGCAAAAAATAGTAGTAGAAACTACTTGCAAGTACTAGTACTACTACTACAAATGCCTTTCAAATTTTCCTCTTAGTACTTATTCTTGAASAACAACAACACCAAGAATTGTGTTGAAAAACAATTCATCAGCTAATGCTCCTTGTACTAGTAGTAGTACTCTACTACTAGTAGTAGTACTACTATGATCTTTGTGTTGTTGACACGACTGCCTGATGATAACAAGATGAAGATTCTTCATTCTTGAC